CGAAGGTCTCGCCCCTTTTGTCCGTCCGAGTACTCAGGGACTCATCCAAGATGTCCAGCTTGGCAATGAGCTCCTTCGCTGTGTAGCCTGCCAAGTCCAACCTGCTGCTGGCTGGCGGAAGGTTTAGGGTTTAGGGGTTTAGGGTTTAGGGTTTAGGATCTCAGCCCTGTACTCAACCCAGACCTTTGAACTGGGTTTCTCGCAACGTATTCAGAGGGCGGCTATGCCTCAACACTCAGCCAGCCAGAAAACTTGAGGAACCAGAACCCTTCCCTGAACCAAAAGTCAAAAAATGGCCCGGCAGCTGGGAATGAGTAAAACCTGCCGATCTCGATGTACCCTCCAGCCAATCGCACACACGCGTAGTAAGTGGGTGTGAGGCCACCAAGCCCAGGACGCATCCGCCGATACCTTTGCTCACATGATTTAGGGTTTAGCGTTTAAGATGCCTGGAGGTTCGGCGTCATTAAAACGCAATAATGAAAGATTAGATGAGGGATACTATTGTTATGTGGGTGTGTATTGGGGTAAACAAGGGCTTAGGGCGGGCAACTATTGACAATTATAACTGGTACTTATTACCCAACACGGTTCTAAAGTCATGATTACGCTTAACCTCTAAGTGGGGAGCAAAAAATGGCCCCCACGAGCAGCTACGTATCTTCCCTGCATTCGTGAATATATGCGCAAGTAGATCTACAAACGCCGACACCTTTCAGCCATGGCAAACCCCTAAACCCTAACTTCACTCCAGAATCTGAAGCTGTTGGTCTGAGCTACAAAGCTCAGCTGATAGGCAGAGACACTCAAAGAAGCCGCCAAAAGCCTCAGGGGAGTGAAGGAGAAAGGCCTTGTGTCTAGCAGGTGTGCTTAGAGTAGTAACATAAAGGTCACTGTTTCTGTTCCTTCTACAGAGCCTACCCGTGTAATGGAATGGCCCTTTCTTGTATCTTTTTTAAGGAGAGTATGTAGGGAGTCTCAGAACAATCTGGCCCTCTACCATCTGCGCAGCTAAGCCCCGAAGCCCCAATCCTGGCCCAAACGCATCCCATTGCCACGGTATCATGGAATCCTGAGAGTTCAGATCCCAAGCATGATCGCTGCCAAAGCGGATATGCTGGTTTTAGGACACGCATTGCTGCTGCCCATCATCGCATCACGTGCATTGCGACATGATCATCATCATCATCACCATCATCATCATCATCAACCGTCATCACTCACCCAAATTTCAACCTGCACAGCAGCCACCACCGCCACCACCGCCGCCTTCTTCCTGTTCTCCTTTTTTTCCTGTCGTACTGTGTACACCATGCACTCGAGACAGAAATACGTAGCTGGATAAACAGATCATCGTTACCATGCTTGGTTGAATTCGAGTGCAGAGGGATCCCCTCATATATCCCCAAATACGACTTGCAAGTTCCATGATTATACCGAGAGCCAGAATGGCACCCATGGTTTTTTGGAAACCCTGAACCCAGCATATCAGCTTATTTGCAAACGTATACACTCTCCCTCCATATGCGTACATATATCTGTAAACATATGTATATATATATATTTATTTATTTATTTAATATTATATGCGGGTGTAACGCCCCCATCTATCCACATATACATGTACAAGTGTGTGCGCGTATATATATGTGTATATATATATATGATCGAGATACCTTTAGGGTCTATGTGCCGCCTTTGTTTCTTTCTATAATCTATATAGAATGTAAATAGTTTAAATAATTTAAATAGGCTGGATTTAAATTATTTAAATCAGGCCAGAGAATTTAAATAATGCAAATCTATCGTATTCTAATTATTTAACAGATTTGGCCTGATTTAAATAATTTAAATAAATTAAATAATTTAAATAGT